CTTCCGCCCGGGCCCCTGCCCAGGGCCTCCAGTACCTGAGCCCTCCCGCTCGCTGCCAGGGTGGGTCCGTCTCACCAGTGTCCCCCCCTCTCACTGGTCCGGTGCGACCTTTTAAACTGCCCGCCGGTCGCAGGCAGATGACGTCACCCCCCTCGTCGCCTCCGGCCCCCCTTCGGGCCGCCCCACTGGTGATGTCACCCTTGTGGCCTCCTCGCCCTGCCCCTTGTCCGCACCGTTCGCTGGCCCTGGCTCATAACCCAGCCGGTGTGCCTCCGCCCCCGCTCGGAGGGGGCAGGCGGCCAGACACGGCGGGCCCCTTCCCCCCCCGGCCGCGGCGCCCCGGCGGCTTCCGGGAGGGGCGGGGCTACCCTGCCACACACCTTCCCCCTCAAGTCTCGCGTCATACTCGCCGTTACTGCCTCCGGGGTTTCTGCTACACGGGAGAGCCAGTCCGCGTTCCCGTTGTTGACCCCAGGGTGGTGCGTGACTTGGAACTGGTACGGTTGCAGGCTGAGATACCACCGCAAAATCCGTGGGTTCGTGTCCTTCATATGTTGCATCCATTGCAACGGGGCGTGGTCCGTCACCACGGTAAATTTATCGCCCTCGCCGTTACTGCCTCCGGGGTTTCTGCTACACGGGAGAGCCAGTCCGCGTTCCCGTTGTTGACCCCAGGGTGGTGCGTGACTTGGAACTGGTACGGTTGCAGGCTGAGATACCACCGCAAAATCCGTGGGTTCGTGTCCTTCATATGTTGCATCCATTGCAACGGGGCGTGGTCCGTCACCACGGTAAATTTATCGCCTAAAAGAAAGTAACGTAGTGAATCGATAGCCCACTTTAGGGCCAAGGCCTCCTTTTCGATCATCACATACCCCCTTTCCCGGGGGAAGAGTTTGCGACTTAAATAGAGGATGGGATGTTCCTCTCCTCCCTCCTCTTGCATCAGTACGGCCCCCCAGTCCCACCTCGGAAGCGTCGGTCTGTAGGGTGAAAGGCTTATTAAAATCTGGCTGTGCCAGCACCGGGGCGAGTACCAACCGGTCTTTCAGTTTTCGAAACGCGTCATCACAAGCTGGTGTCCACCTTACCCTCT